AAACTAGACACTATTAGTTACAAAAAAATATGGATGTTACTTTCTTTGTGATCGTTGTATTGTTATTTACATTTTTTTTTTATATTTTTGAAATATAATATTGTATTATATAATGAGGTTATTGTAATAATTAATACGAGTTATATTAATAATAACGACTGAATATATATATATACATATATTATATTACACGGGAAACTGTTAAATGGAAAACTCGTTAACTTATATGCATTATATATTATGTACTCATAATTTTCTCTTTTATAGACTGTATTATTATAGTTGAAATGTTACATAAGACTTTGATTTTCTTTTGTAATTTTAAACGAGCATATAATATATAATATATTAATATACAATTATTTTCCAGTGAAGCTAAGTATACATTTATTATAATATTATGTAATATTCTATTGATGAAAATCAGTTCTTAATTCTAATTAATATTACGAACCCTTAAAAATTTTCACTTGAAATATTACTCATATGTTTTACGCATGTATGATGTAAAATATTTATTTGTCACTTTCCAATAATAATACTTTTGATCGTATATCATATACTTTTTCCGCATAGACGTCAAAGTTTTAATTTCAGTCTTATTTTCGTAAAAAACAAGAAAAACGTGAGGATGGATTGGCTTAGTAAGCTTATAAAATATTATAATTTTTGACTTTGAGTACCTAATATCTATACATTTTTTGTAATAATTTTACACATAGGTACTTCAATAATTTTATTATATGTTCTATAAGTGTATAGTGAAACGCGCGTAGCGTTGTTTTCCGAGAAAAAAATCCATTATAGGCTTCGAACGGATTTAATAATTTTTAATATAGGATGACTTCACATCGGATGAATATTTTATAGTTATTTTATTTTAGTCTCCATGGTTTTATTGAGCTTAAAAAAAGTATAAAATTAATAAAAAAACAAAAATAAGTACTCCATAAATATTATATTATAACTTTATAAATAATAACACCGTGTGGCGTGCATAGTGCGCTAGTCGTTTAGGCGGTATATATTGTCACCGCACATCGGGACAAGGGAAGAAAAACAAATCTAACGTGTGCACCATCTCTGCGTGCCCGAACTCGTTATAAATTATCCTATATCCGCAAATCCATATATATATAGTATAGCTAGCTGGTTTTACGTGAATGAAAATATAACATTATGTATCCGAGATCCCCATCAGATTTTAGCAGAAAACTCTCAAACGCGACGTTCTGTTTGTAGTTTATTTTTATTTTTTTTTTTTCCCCATCGCCGTAGTGCGTTGACGAAAATTTATTACAGCCGTACATGCGCATATGGGAACATAGAGGTATATAATATGGTTGTAGCGAGGGTGGAGTAGAGGGAAACTTGCCTCCCGCCCTTTAAACTAAATTCTATTTGTCGCGTAAATTTTACTAGAAAATGTGGAAAAAGCAGAAAATATAAAGATCATTAGATAACCTAAGTGCCCTCCTCCCTGCGCTTCACACTAAATTCTATTTCCTATACCAAACGTATAAGTTTTACTAGACAATCAATAAAAGAAAAAGGTTATTCATGTTTTTTTTTTTTTTTTTTAACGAAAGTGCTCGGTGTACAGATTAGCCATCTAATGAGAAAATTTCAAAATTTATTAATTAAATTGTTTTTAGAGATATTTAGTTTTCCGTATATTAACGTAGCGAAGTGCGTTGTTTGCCGTACCTGTACCTACACATCTTTACAACCCCCACTACACCTACGTTAACTGCAGTCTGCAGTACTGTTGCGTCGTCCGGTTGTCGTTGCACACAATCATGACACGTACGTCACGCTAGCCCTCCTTTAAAAAATATGAACATTTTATTATACTATTATTTAGTATAGGTACGTCATTTGTACGAATTTGTACGCAGTGGCCCAAAATTTGTATGTCCAAAAGGAATAAGTTATATGAAAACCCTTCGGGGGAGGGGGGGTGACGTCACACCAGCAACACCCTCACTTGAGAAATTAAAAATTTTTTTTTCAAATTTTTGCGCTCAATTTGAACGTATTTGTATGCGCAATATGAAAATGTCTACACTTTTAGTTTTATAAGGATCATGATATACGTTTTGGAGAAGGGAGGGGTATCAAAAAAATGTATTAATTTTTTTTTTTTATTGTTTTACAAGTAATTCAGACTCTTTGCAGCTTTAATCAAATTTTTTCATCTTTCTCGATCTTCTGAGTCATTAAATCTCTTGATTTTGTCATTTGTCAATCACTGTCATATTATCTTTCACTACCTTGTCCAGCCATCGCTGCAAGGGTCTTTAACGAGGCTATTTTTCAGATAAGATACTTATCATCAGATTTTTTTTTATGATTTTTCCATCTACTTGCCACACATGCCGTCCAGTTCACTTTAGCCTTTCGGCATGTAATATATTTTTGATACTTGGCTTACTATATAATTTTTAAAGATTTTTTTTTTAAAGACTCTCAAAAATAAATTGTTCCAAAAATTGATATTATTATTAAAGTGCAAAGTGTAATTTTTGGATATTTTTTGTTTGACACGCGTGTTTCCAAAATTATTATAAATATTGAGAATCTTTTTTTCTGCTCTTATACATATTTTTCATTATATTGTTTCTAGCTATTCTTAGTGCATAACACAATACAGAGAGCTAGAAATATAAAGCAACTTAACAGATCGAATTAATAAGATTTCAAAGTTCAATAGTAGTTGTTCAAAAGAGAGTGAGTGTGAGAGAGAGAAAAAGATCAACACGTATATTTAATAGTAATATGTGCCACATTTCACAGCAGTTAATTAAGTTTGAAATCAGATCGAATCAGACTCGTATGGATCGCAATTAATATAATAATATAATATTATAGATCTTCATTTAAAACATAATTTGATATCCACTGTAAATTATAACTTTTAATTATAAAATGTAATAATATACAAGAATTTTATAGTGAAATATATAATTACTTACGTGTATATAATATTATGTTATTGGCATAGGTGTACGTGTAATCATATGATCACCTTCATCCCTAATCAATACTTGTGAACCAGACAAGATGACGATAGATGGCATTGTTCAATATTGGTAAGTACTTAAGAATTATGGTTATGGTTTTTTTATTATTATTTAAAAGAAAAAATTACTATTTGTTAAACTCGAGTAAAAAAAAAAAAAAAAATGACAAACAAAACTTCAGAAGTGTATAAGATGTGTACTGTGTAAGTTATTCAATGAATTTTAAATAACGTTAATTCATTATTTTGAATAAATTACTTACAATCATTTAGGTAACTTATTAAAATTTATATTAAAGGTAAACTATTTATAGATATTTTATATTTTCAAAATTTTTTTGCTTGTTTAAAAATCTTTAACATTTGATACCGCGTACCTGTCATATTATAAAAATAGACGTGTAGTTACCAAGCAAAATCAGTGGTGGTCAATCTGAGTTTATAAAATTAAAAAAAAATCTGAAAAAGGAATGAATGGAAGTGTTTATTTAAATAAAACGTATTTTAAGGTTTCATTTCAGGTGCAATATTTGGTTGAAATGAGCATACAGACGTATAAAAAAAATATGCAGCCGATGCATATTTTTTATTTTTTTAATCACTCAATGTGACCACTAATAATATTCAATAACGTTAATTACAAATTAAATACAATTTTTAGAGCTTATTGAAATTGAGATCAAAATCAACCACAGTTATAATGAGAACTATAATACGTTTAATATTAAAAATATACAATGATTAAATAAAATTCGATAATATTGGCTGCAAAAACTCTGTAAAAATAAATTATGAAAATACCATTTGTGATTAGGTGTTTTTTTGCAAATAAATAATTTATGTTTTTTATATTTTATTAATCAGAACAACTTGAAGACACTCGAACTTTGTAAAGAAATAAATAATAACGAAGAAATTGATTATATCAACATAATATTCATAATCTTGTTTTATAGTTATGATAATGTGTATTGTATAAAACTTTTTTGCTTATCTTGATAATGGAAAAACATCGTATGCCTACAAATATAATGTAGTTTTAAAAGAACAACACGGTAAAAATTAAATAAAAACTTTTTTTTTATCATAAACTTATAATATTTGAAGAGTCTTTGACTTTAAAAAGTAAAATATTTCCTTTAGGTAGTTTTTATTCGATTTTATTTTTATTAATACACAAAAAAAATAAATATATATTTGTCATTAAATCATACAATATAATGATAATGTTTGTATTTTAAATTTTAAACACAATAAGAATAGAATAACATGTTATGACATAGGTATTTAGGTTATGGGTAAGGTTTTTAGAATTGTTTTTTATTATTTTTTATAAAAAACATATAATATTTCAATTTAATGTATGTAAGTAATTTGTATTAAACTGAAAAACTTCAAAAATAAAAATATACATATCATAGGTATGTATAATAAAATATTTCATGTAACAATACATTTAAATTGTATAAGTAGAAATGTAGAATATTATTTAACACACAATAATAATACGCGTTACAATTATATGGATAAGTATATAGAAATACTTTCTTTCTTGTTTTATTTATTTCCTTAATTAATCGAATAACAAAATTATACTTAGACTCTTAATAAAAATATCTAATAAATATTTGACTTCAGAAACTAAACCAAATAATAGGCGAGTTATTACAAAGATGATACAAATTAAATACTATATAATGATAGATTTTGCTCCTTTATTGTATATTACTATACGTATATGTATCTGAAAACTACAATAATAAAATAACATATTTATAAAATAATATTCGACCAACACTGTGTTAATTTTAGGAAGAATAAATTTGCTTAATTTTAACAATTATTGTTGTTTGTATAATATTTTTATAATTTATATCAAACGTAATAATATGATTGAATAATTATTTAAATGACATAATGCATATATTATATATATATATAAATATATATTTATAACAATATTATATTATTATCTGGTAAATGATCGATGGAGACTAGAATTGAAATGTTTATGTGTATAATATTATATCACAGGAAAAAATAGAACAGTCAATAAAGAAGGGCGGAGGATTAGTCCCCCCGGCCTTGATAAGATAACAAGGTCCTGGAAGCGTTTTAAAAACATTCGCGTTTTTGTTTCAGTAAGATCGCGAAATTACAAAAATAGTATATCTAGGAATATACCGAAAAAAGTGATAAATGTTTTTACAGCAACAGCCCTTTTGCCAGTCACTTAAAAATAGACCGACGCCCTGTATAAAGTCGGCTTAAATCATCAATCGATAGGCATTTTTTACAAATATCACATGGTTACTAAACCGTATAGTGCCTCACCCACTCCATCCCTGTAAAGAAGTAAGTACAAAGTAAGTCAGGATTGTTTCAGGCGCGTTTATACACAAATAGTTATCATATATATAGTATACGAGAATTTGTAAATTTAAAATAGGAATACAGAAAACTTTGAGTTATTAGTGATATAGTTATTATTCGATTTGATTTAGAGTACGTGAAGGTTTCCGCAAGACTTCGATTTGGAATCGAGTAAACACATTTTCTGCAATATTTCCTTAGCGATATGTAATGATAGTGAAGTTTTCGATCCGTGTATAGCCGTTTTCCGTTGATTCAATTTCTTTTTATCTCTGGTCTCGCGCAGACGGATTTGTTTCAACACACCGACTAACAACTCGTCTACGTTATGTTGAATACCGCTAGAAGTTTCAATAAATTTACATTCCCGTGAGCATGCTAATTGTTTTCCCTCTGAAACGAAAGTATTCATTCATAGTTATTTAATATTTTTAAATTTATTTTGAATTATTCACAAGAATAGAACAATTATTTATTTTTTATTTATATATTATATGATTTTAATACGGACAAAAACAGTTAATGGAGTTCCGGTAGGTATTGATTTTTAAAAAAATCGTGAATTTATTAGAACAGATATTGTGCATTTGTGTCATTCGTAAAGTATCATCAAATGTTAAATAAATTTTTTGCTTTGTTAATATTTATGCTGATAAATAAATACTAAATTGGTTGAGCTTCTAACATTATTTAAAGTAGGTAGGCTGCAATATAAAAACACAAAATATTTTTTTTATCTGTCTCTTATCATTTAAATAAAATTTTACACACCTACGTATAAAGTTGAGAATTTTTCATTCCCCGTCATACCATTAACCCTTATTAATTCTCAACCTTGTGAATAACATGGAAAATTATACTTGTAACCATATAATGTTATGAAACTTAGGGTATGAATTATTATGAAATAGAAAACCATTTCATCTGCAATCGTCAATATATCATCAAGTTTTAACTATTAAAATATTGTTTACCTTCGGTAGTAATACATCTTGCTCTCATTAAGTCTGCTTTGTTTCCAACCACAATGACTGTTTTCTCGCGAGTGTAATTCTCTTGCCAAAGATAGTTTAATATCTCTTCGGCTACTTTCAACGACCCTTTAGATACTACTGAGTAAACCACAATGCAAGCATGTGGTTCATATGTTGCGATTGAATTTTCTACCTGAAATAAACATTTCCATATTTAAATTATTACTGTAAATGCGTTTTGTAATTATATAATAATAATAATAATAATAATAATAATAATAGTTAACACTATCGAGGTTAATATTAAAGTTTATAATGAATGTTTTAAATATAAATCATATTATTCGACATTCAAATTATTTATGGAAATTAGAAAGTATGTACATTGTTGTAGTTTTCAGTATCCTATATTTTATGTATTTAAATTTTAAATATTTACACAATTACAAACAACTCACGTCTCGAAACAATGTAAAATGTATATAGAGTAGATGACGAGGAAATCAAGTAAGAAGCACAAATAATACTTTGATATAATAATTTCAAACAAATAAATATTTTAAAGACAAGTTTTTGAAAAATAATTTTATCCATAAAATTCAAATCAATGTAAAGTAAAATTAAAATTGAAAGTATCATTAATCATCGTTCATAATATCATTAGATATTTTTCTTGTAAGTTGTCAAATCATAAAATTTACTAAAATGTGCATTTATTTCTATGAATCATAAAATAATAAGGAAAATGTTTTATTAAAAATTATTTACTAAATTAATGAATACATTTTATTAGGGACGATAAGTGCAATAAACTGCAGATAAACATTTATTTATCTTATTTTCGAAGCATTGTTATAAAATGGAAAGTTATTATTAAATCGTAAAATATATTTTTATTAAAAAATCTCTCAAAATAAAACTAAACTTTATATATTAAATTCATCTATTTTAAAATTAATTTTGTTCTAATATTATTTCATTGTTTTTTACTGCATTTATATGGAAGTACTGCAACGTTACATTATTTTTAATAGGACTTTCTGGAGTTATTTCTATTATACTTTACGCATTAAATTATATTTAAAAAAATTTGAAATCACTTTATACTGCTTCAAAATGTTATACATAACGCGATGGAATAGCATTGAACAATTTTGCATAGAACCGATTTTTAAACTACAGAACTGTATTTAATGAATTTAAATGTTTTATTATCAAATCGTTAATTTAATGTAGGCACGTAATATAAATAATGGCAAATATATTGTTTTGTTTGGAAACTATGAGAAAATAATTTTTTTCAATAAAACGTATACATTAACAATTACTGAATTACGTATTTAAATAAGGTAAAAATGAAGACAAAAAAATGTCTTTCAGTCAATAAATATGTATTATTATCTAAAACCTTTATATAATGTCTAAATAAATAATATTTTAATTTATTTACTAACTAATGAAAAATAGAAAATTAAATGTAAATAATAAGATATTAGCAATAAAGATATAGGTTAGATACCTGACTTAATAGTTACACTTGTCTATAAAATAGACCTTATACCTATTCTAATTAATAGACTATATTATGGTAGTATATGGTGAGCCCTGTTTTGCGTTATTTAGAATAAAACATTTCATGTACTTGTATAAGAAATAATTTTATTAATGAATTATGTAATAATAATAAAACTATAATACATAAAAACTGTAAAAACTCGTTAGAAAACATATTTCATTTTATAATTTGTAAAATATGTTTTATTTATTTAGCTACACTATTCAAATAAAAGCAATTTATTGTTTGATGAAAAATGTTAATGAATTTGATTAAAAATAATTTTTTTTGTGCGTAATTATTTTGCTACTATTAATAAGAAATTATGCACCTGTCGTACTTACTACCGAACAAAGAACACGTAAATATATTATAAAGTGACAGTAAGCTGTAATCACTTATTTAATAAATTGAATGCACCGGTTAAAAAAAAAATGAGATAAAAATAATAAATGTATATTAGCTACATCAATGCGAATCATACAAGTACTGTCGTATTGATAAGTAAAAAGTTAGTTCTAAACTAATACGTGTTAGATTTTCGGCAACTTTTGAAGCAGTTGAAGCATTGTGTGCTTCAGAGATAACTTTGTTTAAAAGCCATCTTAAGATACCTATTTCGAAATATTCGGATTACCGACGTATAATGTATAACATATGAAACATAACATTTTTATACATATTTCATCAAGTAATAGATCTAAATAATGTAGCTGACTAAAGTGCTAAACATATTATACGATTCACTTGTTTATAAATATATAAACACCTAACATTATCGTAAACATTACTTTAAAATGTATTAGTATAACTTAACTACTACCTAAATATAATATTAAATTTCATTACATATCATAACAAAATAATAATTCTTTATTTTATTTTAGTAAATTAGGTCTAAACAATTTTGGATCTATAAGTTTTTTTTTATTAATTAAATTTGATACAATGATATGTTTTGACATTACGTAGGTACACAACAATAAATACAATAATAACTATTTTAATTTTTTTAATAATCTATAGACAACTTATAGAAAATCATATTTAAGTATATTAGTATATTACACCATTGTTAATTTTTTTAGAGTTAAAATGTTAGTTGAACGATTACCACTTAAATTTGACTTTTGATCAGTACAATCTTTATCATGATTATCACAAAAAGGAGTTTCGATAAGACAAAACATTGTTTGATTTCATAATGACCTGTTAAATAAATTATATTTTGATGATTATTATAGCACGTATCCATCGGGTTTTATTCTATTAAGTTTCCAAAACCGGATTTAAATTTTTTTTCTTATTTGGTCAGCTTTACAATATATTAACCCTAACATTATGTGGTTCTGGTAAAATAGTACCACTTATTGTCACATTACTCGTGTAACAATCATGTTATTTTGCTTAAGTTTTCCAATAAATCTTGCGTTCTTAACGAAACACTGTAGATTTTAAATTCTAAATATATATATTGTACAATAGTTGTATAACTCTAATTTAACGCATGAAATAAAATAAATAACGAGATTTTTTTTTGGTTGGTAAATTTAGTATAGAACCAATGCTCTCAAAAATTAGAAAATAAATAATATACGAATATAACTAAAATCATATTTAAGAGATGATTATAAAATATATATATTTTTATGAACTTACTTTTAAAATAGTTATTTGCATTACAAGAACATTTGTATTGATATATTAAAATAACTTTATGTAATATAAAAAAAAAAAAAAAATCCATAGTAATTTTTGATATTAAATTTATTAAATGAATGTCAAATAATATTAATAATTAATTCATAAATGCCTAATGTTTATTCTAAGAAATGAATAAGAAAGAAAAAAGTCATTTTTCTACTTCATCAACCTTCATAAAAATTAAACTTTCGGTACTGGTGTAGTAAAAAAAAATATTTTATTAATTTAAGAACAAAGATAATGTATAATTTAGAATAGTTTTGAAACATAATGAAATAGAAAATTTGCGATAACAGATAGTTTTATAATGTATTTTTTAAATATTAATTTTAATGGATAAAAAGTTTTATGAGTAATTTCCAAATCAGCTTAAATTGGCTCGAATAGAACAAGAGTTAATAATATTTTTCAACTCTTTCACTTTATCTTCTGATTAAATCATTAATTCACTAAAACTTCTCTTCAAATCTCTATGGGATAACTAGAATTCTATATATAGTATAATATAGTGTTTCTAGATAATAAAGAAAATAATAACCTTTGTTAAAAATACAAGCTCAACGATATGGAAAAATAATATTAACCTTTTTCTGAACCTAACATCATAATGGTTTATTTAATTTCGCTGAAAAACTCGCTACATATATGCTATGAATTGTTATGCGTTCGCGGTTATTATGATAAACTTTATTCTATGCTATAAGTAGGGTCTAAATAATCTGATATCCATATACGAGAATGAAATATTGTGGGATTATTCAAATGATCAGATTATTGGAAATTATAAAAAAAAAATTTTAAATATAAAATTACAATCATAGGCACCAATATAATATTATTGTAATATACAAAAAGAACTAAAGAAGTAACTTTGCTATGAAGTAGGTACTGGTTATGTGTAACTTATTGTATTTAATAATATTTGTATTAAATTTAAATTTATGCATTCATGTATTTTTTGTATAAATAGAGTTACTGTAAAAATAATTCACAAAGAACCCCTTGTATTAAATTTTCAATCAAAGCTAGAAAATTTTAAAATTTCATAAGTTCTTAACTAGTTACGTACAAAATAATTTAAATATTTTTACTTCAAAACATATCATGCCAGGCTCTACTCACATCTAAATCCCCTTAAAACTAGCCTATCCTCTTTTTCAATACCTAGTGATTTCCCGAGATGACTAAAAAGAAAATGGTGTAGAGATCTGCTAATTAATTTAAAAAAAAAAATAAATAAATAATCAACAGATAGTGTCATCACTGGATGGTTTTTTCCTTGATATTTTTTTTCATATTCTTCATTCTATAGCAAATATTCTTATTGTACCCTAAGACACAGATTGTATATAACGTGTAATAATAATAAAAAAAAATAATAAAAAAAAATTTTTATAAGTTCTACTTTAATCAAAGTGTTAACTCCAAATGCTTATGAACAGATCTTACAAGGTTGACATTGTGTTCCTAGTTATACTATTTAAAATGTATGTAATTATGAAAGAAATTTTTTTTTTTTATTTAGTCTTTGATATTTATTATACACTATTTTTTACTTTTTTTATTCAAGGAAAAATTTCATACAAAAACAAATAAAACTTCAAAACAAATTGAATATGTTACATTGTATTTCAATTTTAAATCAATACTCATTTTAAACAAATCATTAATTTATAACCGTTATAAGAATATAAGTACTTCACTAGATACTAAATAAGTACATCTGCACAATTTAACCAGTTTTCAATCTTTTAATTGAATTTCAAAATTATCGCAAATACATATAAAAATAAAAAATAAGTTAAATATATAGCATGTATTTTAAACTATACATCAATATATTTAATAAAATAATATTTTATGCTTTGGAATATTAAATTAAAAATATAACTCGCCATTTAACTACAAATGTAAAATTTGATAAATTGAAGTTA